AAAAAAAAAAAATGTGCCCGACATCACAAGAAACTAAAGAGGAATGTGTTCGTGATGTTATTGTGGCTTATAAAATTAGATCTTACGATAAGCGAATGACTAGCAAAAGTTGTGTGCTACAATGATGGACGTTAGAAGAAGCTTGTGTATGCTCGTATGTTTTTATGTTTAGCTGGTTTAGCCTGTATATCTTGTTTTGCTTGACTAGCTTGTTCTTAATTGAGGTGTCGAGAGACCACTTTTATATAAGAGAAAAAAAATAAAGTGTAATGAAGATCATGAGCCAACTTGATGGCTAAGAGATGGATGCATAGAACCATGCAAAAGTTCATCTTTTGAGGATGACTGGTTTGGATGGCGAGACGAGACCTCTTAGGCGGTGGTATCACCATGTTAAGCGGCTTTACTAATTCAATATGTGAGAGCGTATTCATACTCTGCAGGTCGTCGGAGATCAGCAACTGTCGACATTCACTTGGAATGACGATTGTTGAATGGTCGGCTGGGCCGAATATATTAGTGTTTTTAGGCCTTGCTTAGGTGTAACTTGTGGTGACGATAAATGGGTCATGTTTATATCGTAATCCTATAAATTTTATATGTTTTTCACAAATAAATGCTTCATAAAAATTGTACTTTTATTAATCGCATAAGAAAATGTTAGTATAGACAAATTTTGTATTTTATATGCTTCTATCATAATTCTATATGTTTTTATAGGATAAATTTTATATGTTTTTAATTAAGTTTATATGTTCTCCACAGATAAATGCTTTATAAAAATTGTTTTAATATGATTGTTGATAACCGAGTTAGCCCAGGATGAACTGGAGCCGACCTCTCAGGACCCGAGCTGAAGACCCTGGTCTAACACCGGGGTACCGAGCTAAACTGAAGATTAAAGACATGCAGAATCACCGTGAGAACGTTTCTCGAGACCGGCACCTGGCTCAGAACGGACAAGAGCCGACCTGGGTGGGTGCCGGGCAGGAAGAAGGCAACTGGCTGTCTCGCAAGCACGTTCGAGTAAGATACCGACCTGAAGATCCAGGGTGGCCGACCAGAGGGAAAAGGCGGGGCTCGACGAACATTAAAATATTCCCACTTAGAAGGCCATCATTAGATGATGTGACAGGTTATTATGGCCTAGCGCCCTACCAGAAAATATAGTCAATAAAGCCTACCAGCATTAAATGCCCCCCATGCTGGCATTAAATGTCTGACAAGCAATGATTGAAGAAACCTCAAATCGCATTAAATGCATGTCAGAGGGACGCCGAACTGCTCTGCAAGGTCATTGTGCGACAAGACCGGTGAACAGTAGCTGAACAGTACCACATTAAAGACTACTATAAATAGCAGCTCATTTCATTTATTTTGGGTTGTTGAATTTCAACTAACTCTGCCTTCTCTCTACTTTCTCTCTCTAAAACTGTAAGAAACTCATTGTAAGAATTATAAGTATGTCGCAAGTGCCGACCTCGTACGAGAGGCCGACCTAGTGATCGCCTAATAAAACCATAATTAAACCGGATCTTCCTTCCATTTTCGATCTTTTACTTTCGACATTTATCATTTTAACCGTTGACCGAAAACGCTCGTCAACAATGAAAAAA